ACAGTAGTCGACTACAGATATAATTTTTTCAGTTTTTAAAGTTTGAATATCTGACAGTTTATAGCTGTTTTTAAACGTTTTTAAAGTTTAAAAAATTATCTTTTCAAGGGCTATAAATAGGTTATTTGTTCAGAAAAATTATAGAGACTTACATACCCATAAGCTTTGATCTTTGTGCAAATTTTCAAGTGAAATATATTCAGATTTTGTGAAAAAGAGAAGTTTCTGAAATTGCCTCTAAACATTCATCAAATACCTATCATTTAGGCAATTTACAGAGGTTAAAAGAATCCTAAGCCACTGTTGCACTTCACTACACATTCAAGGCTTATAGGATCAATTGTGTTCTTTCTTCAACAAGGATTTCTCTCGGGTTTGAGAGGGTTGATCTCTTGGTTTAGAGATTGATGTTCAAATTGGCAAGGTGTTTGTCAATTGGTGTTGTAATTTGCAGGGACTTGCAAATTGGTCAGGTTAGCGTTTGATTTTGTAAGTTTATTCAAAATCATAGTGAAAACTCTCAAGCGGGATTTGCTTGGGGACTGGATGTACAGCGGATTGGTGGAACCAGTATAAAATCCTTGTGTTTGTGATTGTGAATTTCTGAGATTGCCATTTTTCTTTGCAATTTATAATATACTTTGCATTAATTTTAAAAGAATACTATTCACCACTCCTCTAGTGTTCAAGTGTATCTATTTTAGACCCTACACTACATATCCTTTTCATTTTGGCTAAAGGGGATGTTCCGTGTTCGGCTGATAGGAAAGTATCAGACCCAGAACTAGGAAATCAACCCTATTACTTCTAAAATTTTAAACTATGGAATAGCGGAATCACTATTTTTTTAGAATGAATGTGAAATTTTTGTTCTATTCTTATTCACTAGTGTGAACACCGTGCAAAGCACGACATACGATATATCATTTTTTTCCGCTATAGTAATCCCGATTTTAAATACTATAGTATTTTTTTGGATTTTTTGAATTGCTACAGTATCCCGTCTCTACTACAATTTTCAAAAAATGCTAAAGTATTCTTGTGTGCTACAGTAACAGTTTTTTCAAAAAATTGCTATAGCAACTCGTTCCAAGTAATATTTACTGTAGCATGAATAGTAAACATTGGGTTTTCCTGTTTGTATAGAGGAGTAGATGAGTAAAAGTGTAATTTCATATCCATTGATAATACTTTCTTATTTACTACATCCCCATTGGGTTTCATCTTGAGTGTCAAAGAAAAAAGGAAAAGGATATGTTTCACATTTTACGATTAGGGTTTTTCAAAATTAGTCCCTTAAATCTGACCTATTTTTGATATTAGTCCCTCAAATATTTATATTTTGACATTAGCCCCTCAAATTATATTAAGTTGTTGATGTAAGTCCCATTGTTAACTTTTCTGTTAATAACACACCAAACTATAGTTAGATTTACTCCAGCCACATGATATTTTACCAAAACAGCCTGCAGTTTTATTCAGCCCAACAAAATAACTCTCTCTCTCTTTCTCTAGTTATCGTTTGAAAATGAGGTTTTTTCATAATTTGTGATCTTGTACAAAAACGCCCAAAATCACCCAAAACATGCCTCAAAATCAATTCAAATCGCTTGTTTCCAGCTGAGGAGAAGAATCGCCACAAGTATTGGCCAATGTGAAGACGTTAAGTAATTGTGGAAGTAAAATTTTATTATCTGATTTCGCTTGTTTTTTAGGGTTTCTAGTCATCTTCTTTTTAGGGGTTTTCGTTTCGTTGTGTTTAGGGATTTCTTCATTTTTTTAGGGTTTTCAGCAAGTGAAAAACTGCATTTTGCCCTAATTTATTCTCTAATTTTGTTGGCTTATTGTGAATATTGTTGTCTGTACCGTTTCCCCCTTAGTTTTGACCCATTTTTCAGTAGGTTTTTATGTTAGTGAAATTTTATTTTTCAGTTAGGTTTGTAACTAGTGTCATGTCTTATTTGTCGATGATTTACTTAATTCTTATCTTATTTAATCACTGCCATTGTCAAGATGTGTGTTCATGGTATGTTGAAGTTTAAGGGTTTGGGATTTTTGTTCAAAATGGACAAATTAAGTTCGGAGGAGTATCAATGGCATTATAATTTCTCTTATTGAAATAGCCGTTGATTTTGGAATTTATTGTGCTTTTTATCGTTAGGGAGAAGAAAAAGAGGGGAAAGGGGTTTGGATTTAGGTGTGACTGTTAATGGGTTTTGTCACGTCCCGCTTCCCAAAATACCCGGGAATCGGAACGTGAACAAGCCCGCGACGTATCAGATTGAGAAGAAATATACACTACCATTTTTTTCTTTTTCTTTTCTTCTCAATCCAATACGCTAAGCGTCTAGAATAAATACAACGTGAAGTCACAGGTCCCCGATCATAGTAGCGAAAATATAATAAACAACTCAGAACAGAAAATATACATATCACAACTGAATATCATCCTAGGCATAATATTCGGGTCAGCATGCCCTTATACAAGACTATCTGAAAGAAATGCTAGAAATATAGAATACATCGATCAATAGAATAGAAGGTGCTACAAAAGTAAATGGTGGACTAATAACTAAGCTTCGGCTTCTTCTGCTCGGTCTGCAGAGCACTCCTGCGAGGAATCCTCTAGCTCCTGTACGACTCCGAACTGAAGCTGTCCGTCATCTAAATCTGACATACACCAGAGGAAACAGGTGTACGTCAGTGTGTATGGCACACGACAAGATCCCAAAAGGAAGAATAGAACGGTTGTGCGACCAATGCAATAATGGTAATAACAATGGAAACATGCAACTAAAATACTAATAATCTAAATATAATTTACTACTAGAATAGAATAATCATAATAAATCCAAGGAAATCAACCGAGTAACAAGTCGATCATGCAGCTAGCGATCAGAATAATCATCCAAGTACAGGGTTATACACTAGATGAAATTAATACTTAAAAATCTACAACAAGAGACGTAGTACGTTGAGCGAAATAATCCAAATAAGAAAACCCTCATGTATATACCATATGTCTCGAATTGTAAATAATTAAATATTAATCTCGATCTATGTATGAAAAGAAATATAATTGGTCCGTATCTCACAAGAAATCATACCTAGCCAAGAAACAAGGTCATGTAACTAGCCATTCTATAATAGGTCACTGGTCACATCTCACACAGAGTCAACGCTCCTGTCATCGGATACTGACTGTTCACAAATCCCCTACGTATATCCAATCCTGCTACACATACGATCAGAGGACTACACGTAAACCGTTTTTTGCCTGGTCTGAACTCAAGCAAAACTCGGGTGACGAAACGATTTTACTAACCAAGTGCGAAACGGTTCACTTGGCCCAACAAACTAACCCCAGTGCGAAACGGTTCACTGGTTCTAGTCTGAAAGATACATCAACAGTCTTATCCGATCACATGAACCATGACTTTCCCATCCCAACTCTTCTCGTTTTGTTAAGTCAACACAACACATGTCTCTAGGTCTTATTCATGTCACACAGGTCACTATAGTAATAAATTTCTAACGGTTCTCAAGCATAACAAAGAGTAATAAATGCAACTAATCATATACAACAAGATCATAGCATATCACATAATTAAAATTAAGAAACATAAATCATAAAAAATTCATAATAATCCCTTTTCTAAAATAAATCCTTTAAAATATTTATAAATGTTCTAAAATAATTCCTTTTATAAAACTTTCTTAAATTATTGAAATTATTCTAAATTGATACTTATTCTAAAATAAATTCTTTTAAATTATTTATAATTATTCTAAAATAATTCTTTTGTCAAATAAATTCTATTAATTTACAATAAAATGATTTTTCACCAAAATAGTAATTATTGATTATTTTGTCAATAAAATTATTTAAAATTATAAATTAATCTAAAATAATTTTATTTTATTTTATCTTTACAGTATCTATTATCTTAATATTATTTTTAATATCATTCGTCAAATAATCCATGCAGGTCATCACAGTATATGTATTACAATGTGAATGATCATACGTTATTGTCCACAGTCCATTTCGTTCACAACAGTTCTATACGTTATAGTTCTCAGTTCAATATGTTCACGACAGTTCTATATTTGTAACGAATAATTATTCAGGAAACGAGTTCTTATGCATAATTGATATGTGATCAATCTAAAATTTTACTGAGAAAGAATAGGGATATTGCAAGCAACTAATTAATTCACAACGAGTCTAAGAATTGAATAACAAGTCAAGAGAGTATCAGGATCTTACCTATGAGACCGTGGGGTCTGATGATAAGGCTACGATGTCGATGCGGACGCGGCGTGTGGCGATCGAGGCGACGAAGCAGATGACGGTTCTGCAACTAGGTGTGTGTCGGCATACGATCGAACAGATGGCGTGCGATGGGGGAGACGGGGCGGATGGTTGGCAGTGAGCTCGACGGCGAGGCGGAGGGGGCTGTCGGGTTTGGGATAGCAGCGACGAGGTAGGGCTGCTGTCGGACGGGGACGTTGGTCGTCGGCGATCGGAGGCTAGGGAGGCGGAGATCGGAGTTGAGCTCGGAGGGGGACCGACGGTGAACTGTTACAGGCAGCAGTGGGTGAGATGAAGGCGGAGCTCGTCGTCGCCTTTGTCCTAAAACAACTACGTGAATCCCATTTCTCTTCTCATCCTAAGTAATCACGACTAGTTTTAGGTAATTTTATATTCTATTTCTGCTAAAGTGATGATAGTAAAGCAGGTACACCGTACATCAACGCTCTTTAAATATGTCACAATTTTCAAGACAACTATCCTACAAGTTCAGTGTCATTTTCTTATCTTAACATGTCCATGATCCAGTCTTTTTTAACCAACCTTATGTAGTATTTTCCCTAAACATGTAGCTAGAAGTCTCATGCTTGAGCCAATACATTAATCAATATTTAACATGGACTTATTTTTTTTCTCCATTCGTTACAACGTCATGTTTTATCTGTTTTAAGCATATACCTATTACTCATGGTTTATAAGTTATAACAAAGTGCTGAGCTTTAACAAGCTAAACTTTATACACAAGTAGAAAAAATGCTCAAATAACAACTATCTGTACTGAAGGTCTATAAAAAACAATAAATATCTATAAACAAAATAAATATCACTGCATACCATATCATACTGGCAATTAGGTTTAGCCGCCCATAAACGCAAATTGATGGTATTAACCTGGTATTGGGTTGTCATAAGCAACGGCCTCAACCTATCATTTGTTCTGTCACAACCGTAGTGAATGAATACAGAAATCGAACCAGGCCGTGAATGGGTCTCTAGCTCATCCTGGAATAATAATTGAACTGGATGCTTCAGTGATTTAAAAAGAAAAAGAACAGGATACAGTTTTCCAAGACTAATACTAGAAGTAAACTAGGACTTTGAAAGTACTGTTAAAATAATAGATAAGAGAAATTGAATTTGTTACAGAGGCATAATGTGTGACAGTTACCTTCCATTGGCCAAGTAATGCCATGGGACAAACAATTAGGGTTCCTCCCTTTACAAAATTTGATTCTTCCTCAGGATTCTCCATTTCTATATTATGGTTTCTTGATCTTCCCCTTGGATTTCCAAGCCCCATTGCATCTGCTAAATCTATAGAGTAGATAAGTCAAATGCAAAGCCAGAGCACAAAAAAATCTCAACTAAGTTACAAGTTATGACAAAGAGCCTTGATAAAAAAAACAGCATGGAGCACTATTGAACTTGTTTATGTTGGAAATTGAGAGGAGATGAGGAGATAATATTTTTCTATATTATTCATAAACTGAAGGTGCCTTATATAGGCTTAACAAAACAACTTAATCCCATAAAAATCTAAACTAATTAGCAACAACTCCACTAACAAAATAACAACCTAATAACAAATTTTGAATCAGTTATTGTTGAATAACTGATTCAAAATTTCTTATTAGGTTGTTATTTTGTTAGTGGAGTTGTTGCTAATTAGTTTAGATTTTTATGGGATTAAGTTGTTTTGTAAGCCTATATAAAGGCACTTTTAGTTGATGAATAATATAGAAAAATATTATCTCCTCTCTAATTTCCAACATGGTATCAGAGCCTTATTTCTCGGATGCGCAGATTTTATGAAAGAGCAAGATCAGAAGATGAGGCTTCGTGGCCTCGATGCCCAGAAATCCAACATCGCCGCTGGCGTGCCGAATCTCGTATCCTACGCACTCCGCTTGGCCCTAAGGACATGGACAAGATGAAGCAGAGCCCTGCCGGCGACCTCATCATCACAAACAATGGGGCAACATTCTTGGAACACATGCACGTGGACAATCAAATTGCAAAGGTGATAGTGGCTAATCATCCAGATGCAGGAGGTAGCGATTACTTAGCTTCGAAGATTAACGAAGACAAAGACATTATGCTTGGAAAGACCAAAGGCGGAGGCTCTGCCTTCTAACTCATTGTTATGTATCATTGCTTAAATTTTGGAGAATCATGGTGAGATGTGCACCATGGAGAGATTGGACAAATATTTGTGGAGAGATGTGCTCCTTTAAGAGAATGTTGGTGATTATGTGCATCAACAAGATTGAGATGAGAAGTGCATCACAAAGTGAAGAGAAGTGCTCTATGAAGATTCAAGAGGAATGACAAGAAATTTTGAATCAAGGGGGAATGTTGAATAACTGATTCAAAATTTGTTATTAGGTTGTTATTTTGTTAGTGGAGTTGTTGCTAATTAGTTTAGATTTTTATGGGATTAAGTTGTTTTGTAAGCCTATATAAAGGCACTTTTAGTTGATGAATAATATAGAAAAATATTATCTCCTCTCTAATTTCCAACAGAAAGACTGAGCACGAGAGAGAGAGGTGAGGGTTTAAATAGAAAAAAAATTGAATAAAAATTTTAAAAAATAAAATAAAATATTGAGAGAGGATGTGCGCGGACAACCGTTTTTTTGGAAAAAAATGAGGAGAGAGAAAACGTGATTAGGGGGTGGTTGTTGGGGTTTGACGGGGAGCAACAGCTTGGATTATTTTCAAATGGGTTCAGGTATTTAAACGAAAATAATTAAATAAATAGTTACGGGTATTAAAAAATTAAACCAATTACGGAATAATTATCTACAAATAAAAATGTACATGTTGTGCTAATAAAACAGTTGATACGAAATAGTCGAAATATACACATATTGTATAATTAAACGAGAATAAATAATAATAAAAATATATTTACTTATATTTAAAATCAAATAATTATGTGACAATTATCTACACGATAAAACGTACCAGTTATGCTAATACGACAGCTGATATGTAATAATTAAAATAATACAATAATTTATACAAATAATACGTAATTAATAATTCAACATAATACAAGAGTTAATACGTAATAGTAATAATAATACGACGTATTATTAAAAATAATACGTAATAGTATCAGTAACACAACGGATAAATCCCAGAAATTTTTATTACACTAAATTAATTTATAAATATCATAACCATTTAAATAAATATATAATCAGATTTTTAAATCATAAAAATTTCTAGAAAATCAAGAAAAATACAATACTCTTTTAAAAGTAATATTTAAAATACCAAAAATTTATTTTAACTAATATCAAAATTTTACGGTTATTACAGGTTTGGGTTGGGAGAAGCTCAATAATGGTTTGAGTTTATTAGGTGAGGGCATTAACGTTAATTTATGGCTAGCATTGAACTTAACAGAATATTCCCTACGTTTTTAACACCAAACTAATCATAGGGACTAATATCAACAACTTAATGTAATTTGAGGGACTAATATCAAAATATGAAGATTTGAGGGACTAATACAAGAATTAGTATGATTCAAGGGACTAATATCTGAAAACCCCTTTACCATTCCTCCTACCGAAAGCATAAGAAGTACTCGTCATAGTCTTTTACTGATGCAAAGCACGGGCCGTACTTTTTCAAACATTGGCCCAACTTATTGTCTATCACCATATTTCTCTGTACTCTCCTTTGTTTAGACGCATATAATTTTTTTAAAGCTATTATACTTAAAATTAATTTATATATCTGTTGCAAATATTTTTTCTTAATAATAATTCTTAAATATATTTTCTATCATCACGCCATTCCATTGTTTGTATGTGTTACATGAATTATACAAGATTAGTGATGTATTGTTTTATTTCTCAATCCCTTGTACATATTAATACGAAAATAATATATATGGCTAGAAAAGTAATATGGTTCTAGGAATAGAAATCACACACATACATATTGAAATTTAATTTTTTTTGTTTCATTACTAATTCTCTGTATAACATATAATTTAATTATATAGTAGTAAGAAGAATTGGTAACTAAACATAGATATTACATTGATATCACATAATTTGGCTTCATGTTTCAATCGTAGATATAATTTAATCACTAACTAATTTCATATTTTTCTTTGTTCTATAGTTATTGAATGTTTAAAGCTATGATCTAAGAAAGAATTGTGCAAAGAAAAGATGGGGTTTTATTTACAAATACCAACAACATAGAGGATACTTAGTAAAGTGGTCTAAAGTATGTATATATACATATGTATATGTATCTATACATATGTATATGTATATAGAGAAGTTTTCGGATGCGAAAACTGTTCGCACGGTTACTGTGCGAAAACGAAGAATGGCCTTTGGATTTTCGTTTTCAACCATGGCCGTTGGATTTGGTGCCCAATTCCCAAAGTGAAAACTTAACTCCCCGTAAAAGCCCCCTCTCTCTCCCCAGAACCCAAACCCTCTTCCTTCCCAAATCCCTCTCCTCTCCTTCTCATCTCTTCACGCCGTCGAGCCGCCGACCGACAACTCCTCCTCCGCCGACCGACAACCTCCTCCTCCGCCGACCGACAACTTCCTCATCCGCCCTCAACATCCTCCGCCGACCGACAACACCTCCGCCGACCGACAACCTCCTCATCCGCCTTCAGCCGCCGACCGACAACTCCTCCTCCGCCTTCAACCTCCTCCTCCGCCTTCAGCCACCGACCGACGACTCCTCCTCCGCCTTCAACCTCCTCCAGAGGTTACATTCACGATTTAGGGTTTTGTTATTGGTCTCTTTTTATTTGTTCTCGATTAAAAATTGATTGATTGTTCTTCTAAATAATTGTGAAGATGGGTTATTGAGGTTAATGGAGCGTAGGGGACTTTGTATGCCAATGAGACTTATCAGCTTCAGGTTGGTTTTCCTGAGCATTACCCTATGGAAGCGCCTCAGGTGATGAAAAGACTCGATTTTTATTGTTAAATTTTGTGTTTTTGGGGGAATTGGTTTGTTACTGATACGAAAGATGTGGGTTTTGTTTGATGGGTTTTGGTTATCAGGTGATTTTTCTGAATCCAGCACCGTTGCATCCGCATATCTACAGCAACGGGCATATTTGTTTAGGTAATTCTTGATTGGGTTGTTGAATTTGGTTTTCTTATCTTTTGTGTTTAGTATATGTTGGATTTTGTTATCAGTTTGGTTCTTTGCAAGTGACACATTTTAGTCAAATGTTCGAATCCTATTTTAGACAAATGTCAGCATGGTTGCAAGTGACACATTTTAGACAAACTCCAGGAAAATCTTCGAATCCTATTTTACTGCAAGTGACACATTTTAGTCAAATGTCAGCATGGTTGCATCTACTGCCTGATACCATGGAATTACTTCAGTAGTTAGATTAAACAACCACCTCCATCCTGTCAACTTACTGAATTTTTCTGCATCTTGTTTTGTAACTAAAGACATCCCGTGCAACTTATTTTGCACTGTAAACTCTACTATTTCATCTTTAGTTGTGCAGACTTGGATGCAATGAAACAAATAGAACTTGGGAATTGGTCACTTGTAAATTTTTATGTTACTGCATACACAGCAATAGTACTAAACAAGCCTAAGCTGGTCTATGCCTTTTGCAGCATAGAGTAGTGATGCTGTTGACTTGACTGTTTCGTGAACTCTTCCACTTGCATGATTAAAGGCCCTGAAGATTAGATGAACATTTTAATGATGTAGACTGTATTTAGATTTAAGCTTCAAAGATGTCGTATACTTTTTGTATTGTTTGTGGTATGTTTTTTGCAGATAAAAGATGAAGAACTTTTCGGAAGAGTTCAGTGGAGAAGAAGATGAGGGTTTAGTTCAAAGAAGATGTTATTGTGGGTTAATTTGCAAAATATGGATGTGCAAGCAAGGACACAATAAGGCTTGGAATTTTATATTTGAAATTTATAAGTATCATTGTACTGATATTGTTGTTCTGTGTTATAGTCAAATGTCTGAGCAACATATTAGTGAATGACTGATGTATCTAAATATCCTATTGAAATTGGTTCAGTTGTTATAATTATTTAGTGAATGACTGATGTTTAGGCCTCTTTGCTGTGAAATTGCTTCTATTGGGTCCTTTGTCTCAACAGTATGGCTTCTTGTTGTTCTTTGTCTTTATTAGTAATTTATAAATGCTGCTTGTACATGTGTTTGAATCGAATGTGGATTTTAGAAGCATCAAACACCTGATTATTTGTCATGCTTCAAACTAACTCCATAAAATTCCAAAACCCAGCTAAAGCAAACCGACATATAACTCCATAAAACACCTGATTATTTGTCATGCTTCAAGCCAACCGATCATAACATCTGGACTTT